TTTTTTTTTTTTCCTTCTTTCCTTGAGACTGGGTCTCCCTGTTACCCAGGATAGAGTCCAGGGGCATAATCACAGATCACTATAATCTCAAACTCTGGGGTTCAAGAGCTCTTCCAGCCTCAGCCTCCCAATTAGCAGGTACACACTATCATACCTGGCTAATTTTTTTGTAGAGATGAGGTGTAACTATGTTGCTTGTGCTAGTCTCAAATGCCTGGCCTCAAGTGATCCTCTCACCTTAGCCTCCCAAAGTGCTAAGATTATAGATGTGCACCACCACACCCAGATGCATATTTTTTATATTTAGCCACACCTACAAGTTTATTTCCACTAATAGCCCACATGTTTCTGAATTTTAAAAGGTCCCTTCCTCCTCAGGAGTCTAAAACCACCCTATGCTTAACAGTTAACTTCAAACTGTTTCTTAAAACCTGAAAATATTTGAGACAGAGTCTCATTCTCTTGCCCCAAGCTAGTCTGCCTTGGCATCAGTCTAGCTCACAGCAACCTCAAACTCTTCGGCTCAAGTGATACCCCTGCCTCAGCCTCCAGAGTAGCTGAGACTACAGGCACCCAACACAACACCCAGCTAGTTTTTTTTTTTTTTTTTTTTTTTTTTTTTTGAGACAGAGCCTCAAGCTGTCCCCCTGGGTAGAGTGCCATGGCATCACAGCTCAGAACAGCCTCCAACTCCTGGGCTCAAGCAAGTCTCCTGCCTTACCCTCCCAAGTACCCAGCTAGTTTTTCTATTTTTAGTAGAGACAAGGTCTCGCTCTTGCTCAAGCTGGTCTCAAACTCCTGCACGCAAGCAATCCATCCATCTTGGCATAATAGAGTGCTAGGATTATAGGCATGAGCTATCTCACCCAGCCAGTCTAAAAATATTAAATGGCAAGTTCTAGGAATAAACCATTCATAGGTAGCACAATGAAATCTCTGACTATCCTATACTCTTGTCCCACCTTGGATGGGAATCATCCCTTTTTCCAGTATATTCACACACCAGTTAGTTACTTAGTAGCCATCTTGGTTATCAGATCAACAAAACATAGTATATGAGGTTCAAGGTTCTTGCAATATATCCAAGGATAAGAGCGGACTACTATATTTTGTAAATGAGATTCCATTTGTGTGAATCTATCCATTAATTCCTAATTGTAGAGAATGAAAGGCTTTTCTCTCCAGTAAAAAGTATTTCAGATAAGGGTGAAAGAAAAGATCAACTACAAAGAATAAAGTAGAACAATACAAAATGCCAATGTAATTAACATGGAGCTATGTATTTGCAATTTATCTATTAAATGTCTCAATAGTCCATGTCGGTATGAAAAATTAATTAGTACAATTAAAATGGCTTAATGGGTATGCATGCTGGAGGAAAAGGAATGTGCAAAGGAAGTACAAGAAGTAAACTTGCTAACCTGTGTACAATCTTGGACAGAAAAAAAAAAAATCTCTACAGAAAGACAGGTGTGGTAGCTCATGTCTATAATTCCAGCACTTTGGGAGGCCACCAAGGTGAAAGGATGGCTAGAGGCCAAGAGTTTGACACCAAGCCTGAGCAACACAGTGAGATAACCCCCTCCCCTCAAGCTCTACAAAAACAGAAAATATAAACGTTTTTAAGCCTTTAAGAAATACTATGTATGTATATACTTGTCAAAACCTAGTTAATCCTTTTTTTTGCTACACAAAAGAATTCCAGTATCACTGAAAATCATTTTAGAATTTCGAACATTTGGCATGGTAATTGTTAATTTTTTTTTTTTTTTTAAATCTAGGCTCAGCACCTATAGCTCAAGCAGCTAAGGCGACAGCCAAATACACTGAAACGGGTGGGTTCGAATCCAGTCCGGGCCACCAAACAATGGCAACTACAACCAAAAAATAGCTGAGTGTTCTGGTGGGTGCCTGTAAAGATAGTAATTCAGCAGGGGGTGGTGGCTCATGCTTGTAATCCCAGCTACTTGGGAGGCTGAGGCAAGAGAATTGCTTAAGCCCAAGAGTTGGAGGTTGCTGTGAGCTGTGATGCCACAGCACTCTACC